TTTGAAATTTATGCAATAAAAACACATAAAATGTACCGGTATGGTATTAACGCCATGACTTATGAGCAAACTTCAGCACTTTTTTTGTGTTATTATCAAATTACTGATGATTTTGTAGATATATATTTTAGTATTCAAAAAATTGCTTCAATTACATAAAGTTTTTGGAAGCTTCCGATCTTTCATATTAATGATAAATTATGGATTGTATAGTGAATATTCGAAAAGTTCCAGTTTTCTTGACAGTGAAAACATTACAAAAAAAATCCATTTTATAACTATTCTCCATTATCCGAACATCAATTATCTGAATATATATTAGATACCCCAGTGAATATATGTATATTATGGATATCCCAAAGAGCGTATTAACTTTAAACAAAATATATATAATTTAGTGGCTCAAAAAGATTGGGGAAAGATGATTAAAAAATACGTATGTAATACATATATAAGAAATTATAATTTTCTATGTGTAATGTATTCGTAATGTGAATCGTTCGATTGTCAGATTATTTTGGAATTGGTCTGGATAATTGAGATTTCATTGTAAAGAGATTTACTGAGATTCACTGTTGGAAATAAAATTTGTGCAGTTTTTTTTTTGTATATCAAGTAAAAGTAAATTATCAAGTACTAACTTATAGTTTATCAAGTTACTAACTTATAATTTTAGTTTCTGATTAACGATCGAGAAACAAAATATGACATTGACTTTGTCAGATTTATTACATTTTCATGGCATTTAATTTTCTCAGCAATTTTTTCAGCAACTGATGTTTGTGAAAAACTAAAAGTAAATGTTTGTAAAAATATTTAATAGAAATAGAAACAAAGATGATCTTCATATTTTTTATACTAGAGTAAGTCAAAAATTATCCGCATTTTTCTTGTAACTTTCTTTATACTATTCGCAACACCTGCTTTCGCATATTAATAAGGTCGTACTATAGCCATAATGGTGTGAATCTATTACTTCAATTTTGTTCCTTTGTGTTAAAGAGTTAACACAACTTCTCCATTGTCAGTATGCATCAACGAAGAACAGAGGATAGTGATTCTATTTCTGTAGCCTGAAGGTATAGCAGGGGCTGAAATTCATAGGAGGCTTTTAAGATAAGACGGCGACAGTACACTACCTAGCAGGAGTCCACGAGTGGATAGAAAAGTTTAAAAATGGCCGAACAAGTGTGACGCATGATGAAGGAGCAGAACGTCCGTCAATCTCCACTACTAATGAAAAAATTCTGTCCATTCGTAGACATTTCTGCGAGGTTGTAGTATGCTATCGCCGTATTGTGTTAAAAGTCTCCTGTGAATTTCAACCCCTGCTACACCTTTAGATTACAGAAATCGGTTATGACCACAGAAGTCATGTTAACTCTTCAACACAAGGAACAAAATTGAAGGAATCGAGATAAAACGCACCATTATGGCTATAGTACGACCTTACAATATGTGAAAGCAGAAGGCATTGCAAATAGTCTAAGGAAAGTTACAGGCAAAGTGCGGATAATTTTTGATTCTTCCTAGTATTTTTCATACTTTTACAAAAGAATTTTCTATGTGTATATATTGATATATGAATGTCACCTTTACATTCTCGAAATTCTAGCAATGTGAAAAATAGTCAAGTTTAAATGCAATCATGTATCTCTTATGAGCACAAATGGTTAATAAATAATATATTCACTAACTTCAAATGAATACGAAAATCAACCACGTGTATTTACACTTTGATTATTTTCGTATGTTTTGTTATCAGATTTGGGCATAATTCAAACAAAATATTTGAAAAATGATTATTACATCGTCTTATTTCACTATTATCTTGAAATAATTCTGTGTTAGTTTATTTGAACAAGCAAATATCTTCTCTAAGTTATTTCATTATTTGGTTATCAAATGAAATTATTTTATTTTGTATTTCTTTCTATTTCTACAAATAATTTTTTATTCCACTGTATCAACTCAAATAAAAGATTACATATTTGCAAATGATCTATTTGATTTGGACACAAAATAAAATTTTATTTTATGTTTTAAATAAAAATAATAAATTTGTATAAATGATTCATCATTCTAAATTGTTATTGTTATTTATTTAAATAAAATTTGCCCAATTCGGAGTATGTATTACCTACCAAGAATAGAATAATTATTTTTTGAAAAATATTTCTTCATTATGGATAAAGAATTCATTGAACTTATATATATAACAAATGTTATATATTTCATTTTTGTTTTGATGTTTCATTCTTTAGATATCACAAATGATTGAGTTAACGATTCGTTAATAATTACTGCTGTCAAATTGTTAACCTTGTTTTAAATGAATCATTTTAATGTAAGTCATTCATGTAACATACGGAGTAAATACTAAAAAGTAGTTTAAAATATCTTTAGTACTTTTTATTGTATGAAAGATTTCTGTTATTTCCATGAAAAAGGATTCTGTGGATAATATACAAATTTGCAAAATTTCTGTAAAAGCTAAAGGGGACATTTATTATTGATACAAATATATGACATGTACACTGTCGCTCATAAGTATGTGGACACCTCCTTAACTCTTACATCTATTTAAAAAGAATTATGAAATCTTTAATAAACTTAAGTAAATTTCATGTATAGTTTGTACAGTATTAGGAAACGCATTTAAACAATAATTTGTCAAATATTTCACCAACAATAGTAAAAAATAATTATATCTTCTTCTCATGAGTATATTTGCCGTGTGCCTTTATAATCGCATTTGCGTGTTATGACATTCTGATTGTTAGTTTTTTCATTACTTCACTGTCAATTAGGTTCCACTCCGATTGTAAAATTTCCCATAAATATTTTTTTGACTTTGGACATCGTTTTCGGACTTGTCTATCCTTGTGATCTCATAGTAGAACTCTATGGAGTTCAAATCGGATAAATGGAGTGTTCATTCCATTATTTTCACATTAGAATATTCTTCTAATTGCCACAAACAATTTCGACATATTTTTCGGTGTATTTTGGGTCATTGTCGTGTATTGAAATGTGAAATTATTCTGTGCTCTGAAGGAATTTCGTTTTCTCATAAAATGTTTAAATAAGCCTCTTTTTTAAAAATACCGCTTATTTTTTTATAAATATCCCGTCATATTGTTGCCGAAACAACCCCATACCATGACTGAATGGCATGTTTAAAAGTAGGTACCACACAATTGTTATTTAATTTTTCGTTCACTTTGCGGCGAACTAAAATTCGGCGTTTGATACCAAACACGTTGAATACAGATTTTATCCGTCTATAACACATTTTCTCAACCTTCTAATGACCAAGTTTTATGGCACTTAGTCCACTGAAGCCTTTTTCTTTCGTTTTAGACTTTTAATAAAACCTGGAAGATTGGTGAGTGTGTTTCAAAGTGTATCAAACGCCGGATTTTAGTTCGCCGCAAAGTGAACGGAAAATTAAATAACAATTGTGTGGTACCTACTTTTAAACATGGATGCCATTCAGTCATGGTATGAGATTGTTTCGGTAACAATATGATGGAATATTTATTAAAAATAAGCAGTATTTTTTAAAAAAGAGGCTTATTTAAACATTTTACGAGAGAACGAAATTCCTTCAGGGCACAGAATAATTTCACACTTCTGCACGACAGTGACTCCAAATACACCGAAAAATATGTCGAAATTGTTTGTGGCAATTAGAAGAATATTCTAATGTGAAAATAATGGAATGGACACCCCACTTATTGAGTACCCCATAGAGTAACTAATAGGATCACAAGGATAGACAAGTCTGAAAACGATGTCCAAAGTCAAAAAAATTAATATGGAAAGTTTTACAATTGGAGTAGAATGTAATTGACAGTGAAGTAGTGAAAAAACTAACAGAATGCCACAACACGCAAATGCGATTAGGCACACGGCGAATATACTGGTGAGAAGAAGATATAATTATTTTTTATTATTGTTGGTGAAATATTTGACAAATTATTGTTTACATGCGTTTCCTAATACTATACATGCGTTTCCTAATACTATACATGCGTTTCCTAATACTATACATGAAATTTACTGAAGTTTATTAAAGATTTCATAATTTTTTTTAAATAGATGAGGATTAAGAGTTAAGGAGGTGTCCACATATGTACTTATGAGCGGCAGTGTATATAACAATCTTTTCGTTACTAAACACTTACCCTGTGTATTGAACAATGAATTATATTCATTATTATTGAATTAATATTGAATATTATATTATATCAAGTTACGAAACAACAAAATAAACAAATAATAACTTCAAAATTTTTGTATTGTTGGGGACTCTATGTTACACACCAATAATAAGAAACATATAATAAGCCTTAGTTTTTTCTTACAGGAAAGGAAGATAATTGCACTAAAAAAAAAACCTGCATTATTTGAAAGTATTTTAAGTCTGCGCTTAGATTGCCAACTCTATTAATATGTTGCATTCGTTGCAATAACTCGGTCTGTTAATTATATTGACATAAATATTATTGTATCCTTTAATTGAATACAATCATTTGAGGATAATATACATCTACTTCCAGAGATTCTGATTATAATATATTAAATTTTTTAAAAAGATATAGAATTATAAATATTCATAAATAAATTCGAAGAAATAATATTAAATTAAATCTAATAAATTGTCTCTATGGTTATCGAGTTCTTGCGAAGAAATGTGAAAATAATTCGTGAGCGCAAAGAGGAAAAACATATGATAATTAATAATAAATAGCAAATAAAAAGTAATTTAAGGGTTAATTTTTATATTGTTCTATGTAAAAGTAAAAGTTTTACGTGTAAGTAAAAATTAAATTAATCCTACTAATGGTCTTTTGTTTGATTTCATTTGTCATTCCGCTTCAACACGTTGCTTCGAATCGTCGTCTTCGCCGCCTCGCCATGCAAATATATCCAACGCATTCTACATCGTTCGTGCGCCATCACGATTCTCTTCATTTCTATGCGTGTTGCTGCAGACCCGAATTTTCTCCTTTCAGACCATCCGCGGACCCATCGTCGACGTCGTCGCACAATGCTCAAAACTCTCACCTCGAAGGTAAGCCGAAAGGTAGGACATCGAACAAGAAATTTTTTATCTTTTTCATGAAAGTGCATATTATTCACAAATATGAAAATCAATTATACGTATTTGATGTTTTTGCACTTCAAATCATTTTATAATCTGTATATGTTCAATTAAAAATATAATATGATAAAAGAACAGCCTTTTATTACTTTTTAATGGGAAAATTTGTTTTTAAAATATAAAATATTAATATCTTCGTTATCTAGCTACGATTGCGTGCAGTTCGATTAGTATCGTTAAATAATAAAATGTGTTGTGATTAACGTTTTTATATACGTATATTTGATGAAAATGTTTTATATTTTATCAAATTTAAAGTAATATAAAAGTAATATAAGAAAATATACGTTTAATTATTCGATACTTATTAGTATTATAATTATTTAATTATTTTTTATTTTTTTAATATGATAATGATATCATGGGTAATGAATTCGAACAAATATAAAATAGTAATACATATGTTGAAATACTATAATTAAGTATAGACAATTACAGAAATTAGGCAAATAATTGATGTAGAAGTTTTGTACAACGTAAATAGTAAGCCTAAAATTCTTCAATTAAAAAAATTAATTTTGAAAATTTATTGGCTTACGCGACCTTAAATAATACATTGTTCTATTTTCAAAAGTATTAAAAATTATTATATCATTCAAAAAAAAAATATTATCAGAACGAAATTTTACACAATGAAAACTGGATAATGATTGAACTTTAGACCATGTACGATTGTCTTGATTCTCAAAAGAAAAAATATTTTACTTTGAACCAATTTTTGGATCTCTGAAATTTAGGAAAAATTGTCACTAGAGGGTCCTCTTAATGCTAAAAAATAATAAGACTGATAATGTGAACTTTGTTCCTTTCAAAACATTGTTAGTCGCTGATGATACTGTTTCTATTTTCCATTTGGTAGCAGTATTGGAGCAATTGAAGCTGTGTTTAGGTGACTTATAGCATTTTTAGAATTCTTTATATATTTAACAAGACGATTTTTGTAGTGGATTTTCATTCTTGGGAATAAAAAGACGTAAACTGGATTAAAATCATTTTACTATTTGTTCTTATTTCTATCACGTTTTTTTTTTAAGTTTGACAGCATTATGTTGCTTAATATTTTTTTCTTTCATTCTTATGACGTGCATATAGTGTACACATATTCACAATTACACAAATTATTGTAAAATCATACATGCTAAAGTTCTCGAATTATAATTGATACAAATTTGGAATATAATTTAGTGAAATGAAGTTTTGATTAATTTTTTGACATACTATGGGATTAGCTGACAAGTAAGATATTAGCCTATAGATCAAAAGCGATAGAGTAAGAATATATTGAACTGCATTTATTATTCACGGATATATCGTAAATGCTCCAAAGTTTATTTATTTTATTTTACTCGTTTGTGATCAATACGTTTTAGAATGAACATACATATATACGTGTATAATGTAAATGCGATTAAAACAAAGAATAGTTTTGCCGGTTTTCAACACAAATTTAGCCAATTATTTGGAAATCAGAAAAGTTGCTAATTTTACTTTAATTGTACATTGAAACATTCAAGAAACTGAGAAGGTGTGTATGCCGAATTCAAAAATAAACAGAATCAATAGAGTTACTACATCTGTTAACATCTGTCATATTCATCTGATTCAGCAGTTTATAATTTCTGTTTCATTTCAAACCGTGAATGAAATATTATATCAGTGACTGTATGAAGTGAAATCTTTGAAGTTACTAGTTAACAAATAACAATAACAAATTGTACTTGTTACGATATTTGTAACTCTCAATGATAATTATGTTAAGTGAATACATCATTTTTTAGCCAATGAATTGTATAATATTTTTACTCTATTTTTGTTTTTAGTGTATTTTTTTTAAATATTTTTTTTTGTTTTTAAATATGCATTCATCAGTCGATTCTCGTATGTCTATGGAATTGGGTTATTGTGTGATATAGTGTATAGTATAATTTATTAATGATTGATTGATTATTTTGAATTGTAATTTTATAGTTTGGATGTACTTCAATTGTATTTCACTTAAATACGAAGATTAAGGTTAATATTTCACTTTATCTTAATTTAATTTTTGAAACATGAAGCTTCTATTTTTACATTTTCAATAATGTTTTTACATCATATAGGAAATAAAAGAAATAGCGATATTTTGAAAAATTGGCTGCAAAAACGTTGAAATTTTTTTTTATGACTAAATAGATTTGAAAACCGAAACTTGTCTCTCAATAACAGTCATAAAACTTGAAGCTTATATCTTTTTTGTTAAGTTATTGAATATTTAAATTTAGCTAATTCTGGATTAGACAGGAATGAATAATGGGCAAAAGATTATAGCTAGAAAATAAATAAAAAATGAAGAATAAAATTTTTCCAGTTTCATTTTCAAAAGAATTAACTTGGTAAACGTGTATCCGATATATTTTTAAATTTAATTGTCTCGAAAACGACGAATATCACATGTCTTATGAAAAAATTGTATTCTACGCTCTTAATTTATTTTCGCAGATAGAATAACCTATGTATTATTTATTACTGAATTAATTAAATTCAAGTGTAATTGATAATTTTCAAAGTCAATTTTTTTTGGAAACAAAATCTTAAATAAAAAAAAGAGTTGTTCCGAATCTACCCTTTCTTCCCATTGTCGATCGAAATAAAGTTTGAGATATTACAAAGAGTATGAAAGAACCATGAATATAGAATCTAAACTTCGGGAATTCATCTATTCGGAAGATATAGTAGGTCTTACAATTTTACTAGCGTAATAAAAAGTAATATTCTTTCCTTTTTTAAAATCGTTTTCTTTATTACTATACGATGAGGCCAAATAATTAATTAATTTAATATTTTTAATTAATTTAAAATAGTTTAAAATATTTTAAATTTTATTTTTATCTAGTCGATATAGAAGTTTGATTGAGATATTTTTTTTCTATAGATATTGCAGTGGTTTGTGTTAAAAGAATATACAACTTTTTAATGAAATGATTTATTGTTCGTTAATTTCAAATTTTGAGAAATAGCTGTTTTGTTATTTTATCATCTCTTACTCGAGTAATTTCAGGAATAAAAATTAGTCATCAATTTATTACTATCAATTTCGCGGACTTGGACGTTTTAATGTCACTGATGTAATATTCTAATAATAAGTAATTATCTGAAAAAGAGGATTCATATTTCACCTTTAAAATATGTTATCAAGACATCATCATTCTGAACAATTTTTCCCTATAAATTATCGTCGCACGCCCTTGGTTTTCGAGATATTTACCAAAATATATTTTATATTTTTTTATACTTTACATTATATTATATTACTATATACTTTCTAAAAGGCAAATGATATCGATTGTTTTAGTGGGATATTCGACTTCAAATAAATATCATACTTTTTTTCTTGTCTCCTCCTGATAACTTATTTAATTCATTAAGAATTATTCATTTTTGTGAATTGTTTCTAAATGGTAGCATTAACGAACGGTTTTTGTCGTTAGGGAAAAGTAATCGATACTTCTTTTTAAAGAGACAATTATTTTTTTAAATGTGTGTTTCAGTTAGAGTATATAAACTCTGGTGGCCGGTTGCTGTAAGGTAACCGGTAACTTGTATCGGTGAGATGCGGATATATGTAAAAATATTTTCGATACTATATATTGTACTTTGTAGATTAGGTTCAAATTAGGTTCCTTCAGGCCAGCATTGCAAACCGATTGACAACTTAAATCAGTAGGATCGTTTGTATTCGACTTATTTCAAATAATTCTTTACTTCTGCTTTAAAATTTTTTCACAGAATTTTAGAACTTATCTTTTTAGAATTGCACAAAAGTTCTTCTCATAAACATTATTTGTTTTTATATAAAGCAATAATTTCAGTCAAGTGTGAGGTGATACGTATTTGGAAATTGGATCGAATATTTTTCTTGCTTATATCTCGGAAACCAAGAATGAAACATGAGCAAGAAATGTAACATGTATAGAGAAAAGTTGTTCAGAATAATGATCTTGACAACATATTTCAAAGTTATTAAAAACGACGAGGAATCCTATTTTCTAGATAATTCTATTTTATCGTATTCTATAACATTTCAATACATTTGTGCGACATTTATGGTAAAGATAAAAAATAAATTTAAATAAATTTTTGCCTTCCGTTATGCAATAGACAAATGAATTTTGTTTATAGGAAAAGAAAGAAGTTGTTATACACAGATCTTTTATAAATATATTCTCACAAATATTAAATTTTTCTCTTATTTTCTCACTAAATGGAGTGAGATAAACTAAATAAAATGAGAAGAAAATGATAAAAATGCAATATCAAATGAATAACAGTTATATTCTGGAAATATTAATATAATTTAAGATTAAGTGAATGGTATCACTTGCAGTAATTTACGAATAATACTTCAGTATAATAACAAATTAGGAAACATGCTGAGAACGATTTCATTTTTTAATACGATAATTTTGTAGTTTATCAAAGTCGTAAAAAATGATTTTTCATACAAAGAATACTTTACTTTTTAATTGGTCAGCATGCACTCTTGATTTAAGTAACGTTCGAAGATAAACAAATAGATAAATAATTTGAAAATCAAAGAATTAAAAGGATGATGTTGAGTCTTCTGTTAACAGTGATTACTGTAGTTATCGATAGTCGAACATTTACTGTTGTAACTCGAATCATCTGTTATCATTGGAATTTTCCTGAAAATTATAACTATTTTAAACAAATTTTTAAATTCATATTCAATTTATATGATGCGACTGAGTATTAAATGTTACGCTATGTCATGTGATAAAATATATGTATGTACGGTTTGGCTGTTTTATAATAGCTATTTGCAAGTAGAGTCAATATAAGAAAGAGTTAAAAATGAATGATTCATTGACATAACTCTATATTATAATTTTATTTTTAGAATAGAATTGTTTATAATTCCATTTTATTAATGATTTAAAAAAATCGTTTAATCTTTCAAAATGTATTAAACATTTTTTAAAGACACACACACACATACACACACGTTAATTGGGAAGTTTTCATTTTATTTTGTTTTTGACTATATTGAAAAAGTAGGAAAATAGATTTAAAAATTTTTTTAACGAAATTCGTATTCGTACCTACCTATGTATGTACGTAGTAAAGTCTGTATTGAATTTTTAGTTGTAAGATACAAAGTATATTATTTTATCATTTACATACAGGTGGAGCACCAAATCGACCTCTTCCACCTACCCCTGATGAAGAAGAATCAGGAGATCGTACGCTAGTCATGAAAAGGGTAAGTGTTTTTTAATTATGCTTCAATTTAACTGCAAGTCAACGTAATATTTTTAGCATCTTCTTGTCGTTTTTATGTGTATTGATGATGATAGGGATCGATCAATGTTCACATACGGATTGAATGTAACATTTAAATTTATGTCATTTAATTATATTTTCATAGAGCGATTCATATATTTTTTACTCTTTTCATTCTTCAAACATTTCATGCTTCAACATTTTTAAGAAACAATTTCAAATAGAATTAAGAAAGAGAAAAGAAATACAAATAATTGTATTTTATTTCCATTTCCTTTTTTTATAGACATATCTCTCTGTATTGTTATACATTTACCGATAGTCAGAAATAGTCAGAAACATTTGTCAATTTTCATATTAATTATTGTCGTGCAATTCGAAATGACTGAAGCTGCTTTTTGCACATTTTGTTTGTACATTTGTTGTTTTCATCTCTTATAATTATACGGTTCGTAATTGAATGTATTGTCATCATATATACTATCAATAACATACAAAAATACTGAATTAAATATTAAACTAAACGTACAAAGAATATAGATATAAAAAGAGGAAAAACGATCGGCGAAATGAAGAACTGATCAATAATATCACGAGGTGTACAGTGTATATAATGACGAGTATCTATATCTATATCTATTTGCAGAAAGATTATAATTATACGGATTCTGCATTGAGCATACTTGAAACAGAATATTTTAAAATCCGCAGCTGAAAAAGTTGTTTCAACGCTTGAAAAATTCCTCCTAGTAGTTGGATAGATGAGATCAGTTCGAATCTCACGATTTCTTTTCATGTAGCTTCGTATCGTGGAATGTTCCTCATGACAAACATCGCATAACATCGTATCAAGTATAGTAGATGTTATTGTTTACATTATCTTGCTTCGTGTGGAACGTGTGTCACCAATACGTTAGAAAATAAATTCCATTGATCGGTTGATAATTACACTTGATCGCAATGCACTGCCAATATCACAGCTAGCCCGCGTTATGTATCACTGCACGCTAATGATTTTCTTCTTTTTGTGTGAATGGTTTTTCTTTTGTTACTTTGTTTATCGCCTTCGTACGCGCTCCCTAGAAACTTAGTCAGATGTCAGACGATCGCGGCACAGCTAACAACAATCGGCGCTTCGAGGTGGAGGAGCAACTTCTACTGAAGGAGTGGGATTTCACCCGCTTCTTTCAGGGTTTTAATGAACGATTGGATAAAATGAAACAAGAACCATCGCAAGAGACAACAGAGGCGAGCAAGTCTATTAACGAGAATCACCTTTCTTCGTCGTCCACGGAGAAAACGTTAAAGAGGCAGGAACAGTTGTCATCTCGTAGGAAGCATGAGAATCATTCGCAGCAACAACAGCATCATCAAAAGCAGCAGCAGCAGCAGCAGCAGCAACAGCAGCAGCAGCAGCAGCAGCAGCAGTTGAAAGCAGCGCATAGACGACAAGAAAGCGATTCGAAGCTTGGCAACACATCCAGCGCTTTTGCACGTGCTTTCCGCCGCGAGAATTCCGACTTCTTCCCCTCCGCGAGACACTCTGCATATTTACAGAAGTCAGACTCTTCGAGATCGAGTATATTCTCAAGTGGTAACCGGCGTGGCAGCGAGATAAGCGTTGCTGGCATTACTGGGAAAAAAGGAAATGCCGTCAGTACCGGTGAGCCGGTTCTCACAGACTTTTCGTTCGGTCGTGATGGCCTTCAAAGGCCTAGAAGGGAAAAAACCGAGAGCGAGATCGTTTTCGGTAGTAGATACGATGCCAGAAAATTCGACTTTGGACGTGATAAAGACGACACTACGAGAAGACGCAGTTGTAGACCATCAGATGCTGTTTCTGTCACCGTTGACGAAGCAGGAACTATTAAATCTACGGCCAGTACAACGGCTAGCGAGTACAGCCCCATTGTCACCCAGGTCAGTTCCCCCTATCAGCCCTGCCTGTGTGCTTGCCTGAAGAATATATACCTATTGCATTACCTTTATATCTCTCTACCTTCAATTTCTCTACCATTGCGTCAACTTTGATACCTTGATTCTCATAAACGTCCACCATCCTGATAAATGCCTCTCGATATATCATTATATTTATGTATTTTGTGCTTACTTCATCAAGCGGATCAAGTCAAGTTAAATTCTCTGAATTAAGTGCGATATTTTCTAAGGTGTCCTTTTCTGATATTTTCTAAGCTGTTTCACGTTCCTTAACAAAATGCAAACTCGGTACTTAATCAACAGCTAATTGTTTAAATTTTATTCTCTATTTTCGTAGATATACTTTATATATATATATCGATAGGCATATTTTGTCATTGAATCTTCAGACATCCATTTTTCCAATATCTAACAGCATATAAAAATCGACATAGAAAGCTAGTCAGCTACGCTCGAATTTTAGGCGCATTTTCCCGTTACCTTCCTTGTTTTTATTATTTCTTCAAATTTACAGACATGAGTAGGATACATAACTATTAGAGCTATCAGTATTCTGTTACCAGTATTACTACTATCTCTCCTACTATATTACTAGATTAATCATTCAGACAAGGTCGCACAAAGCTTTATAGAGGAACGTTAGACCTTTAATAACCAATATACCTGGTATAATGGAATTAACAATATATCATTTCATGTTATTAATAGTAATATTTTAAGATTGTTGTTACTTTAACATAGGAAAGGGAACATTTCCGTGTTATTAACAAAACTTCGTTTCTCGTTCTGTTCCTTGTGCACAAAAATATTTTTCCATAGTATCTATCAAGTAGTATTAAAACGAGACATTACTCACTTTCAGAGTTTTTTAATCAATTTCATTATAAACCATTTACTGTTATTATTACAATGTATTTCATTACCTAACTCTTTGCTATATAACTTACATCTTATTCACCTTCTTATCGTTTTTAGACATTTGGGAAATCTACAATAACGCAATGATTTCGGTTTATCTTGTTTAATTTTTAAATCATACGATAAATATTGACACTTTTGTAATCATATGTACATCGATAGTATCATATGAATCATATAGGATTTTCAAATTTCTCCTTGAACCTATTTTTTTCAATCTTTTCGTAACTGTGAAAATCTTTCGTTAATGCAGGGATTAAAAATCTCGAAGTATCAACATCATAAGTCATAAATATCAGTATCTACTGAGTTTCATGCTTAGAGATTAAATTTTTTTCATTTTGTTTAGAATCCCAACTAAATATTGAATAGAGGTAATTTGATGAATCGTTAGACGATTGGGATGGAATATTATTATTTCACATAAAATTTCTGTTAGGGTAACAGTATTTCAAATTCTTAAAAAGAATTCAGGACAATTTTAGTTGAAATGATTATTTAAAAAATGATCAATTGAAAAATGAAAAATTTTAATTTATAAGGCAATAAATTTCAGAGCAAAAGGGTTTGATTTAACATTTTCTATTTATTTTGTAACGAAATACCATATTACAATATTAATAATTTTCCTATTATATTTACTATTTAATTTATATAATTTGATTTTGTTTTAAAAATAAGATGGAATTTAGAATTTGCGAGAGAAGAGAAAAATGTCATATCTAAAATGATTTGAGAGTAAATATTTTACAATCAAAGAAAAGTTTATATTTTTATTAATTAAAATGTATAAATGTTATTTTACTATTAGCAAAGGGTTAAAAATTATATAAAAATGTTGTTTGTTATCGTTTTAGAAATACTATTGCCGCTATTGTTATTGTCGTTATTATTATACTATGGCTGTTGTGAATGATATTATTCCAATATTAACCAATATAACTTGTACCTACACGCTACAATAGTATAAATTAGTATCTTTGAATTTTATAAAGAAAAGTAAAAGTTTACATTTACTAAAATATACATAGTATTGTCACTAACAAATAATATACACTTTCTTTTTACTAGTATCATCCTATAATTTGTTGCTGTTTTTTAACCTTTTCAATTAAAATAGAAAATGCGATTGATGATATTTAATGAAACTATGTAATGTTCCACTAACTTCATTATGAAAATTTTTAACAAAACATTCATTATTACGCATTTTTTATTACGCATTTATATATACGAAAATTATAGGTAAAATTTTATATTAAAAAAATTCAATTTTATATGTTTGTCTTATATTATATATTCACTTCTTATGAATAAGACTTCAAATTAAAATTAAAATTATTATATTCTTTAATTATTTATATGTAGAAGAATAAATAAAAAAGGGAATAGAGAAAGGGAGAAGGAGATGGTGAAAGATTGAAAGAAAAAACACATTAATACGACAAAAATAGTTTCGTATGGATGATTGAAAAGTATTGTGGAAATTGAAGTTAGTGAAACGACATATTCCTGTGTAAATGTACATATTCCTCAATAAAAATTGTTGAGATTCTCGCGTAAAAAAAATGTTGCTGCAATGAGTTTGATATAAAATAATATTTTATATCAAAATATTATTTTGTATGTATATTATAAATAATATTGTTTGAACGAGCAGCAATTATTGGAGATAAAAACATGTAAAAACAGTTGCTTTCATTTTCAGGAATCCCAATATCCAACAATACGAATAGAGTGCGCTATTTTTAGTATCATCCACTAACATTACTGTCATCAATATCATCGTCAGCATCATTATTGCCACTGCTACTATTGCTCCGTTTCTTTTGGAACTAATCCTTTCCTTCCTTTCGAGTGATCTACGATACTTAATATGAAAATATGAAATCTTATCGCTATAATGATATTTATCATTATTTCAAATTCCATACCTGAGAGAGGAGGATTAACCGCATGGAATTTCTTTGAGGACATTCGTCTTGTTTCTACGTTACATCACCTTGTGAAGGGAAACTGCTAATGTTGCTACGATCATCGCAGCGAAACATCGCGGGATTCAGAAAAAAGAGCAGTTAAAAATTTGTGAAAGTGTGTCTTACGTACGTCATTTTCGTTATGTTCACGTTATACATATCAACACAGGTTCAACGGTTGATCTCATTACGGTTTCTTTTTTTCCTTCTTTCTCATTTTTTGTTCTCTAAGTTAAGAAAAAGACATCATTGTTTCCATACAAGCGAATCGTTAGCAAACAGAATGTTTCTTGTACTTTCGCAACATCTCATTTCGTATAAATGCAGGTTATAAAATTTTTGGCGTAAGAAATATTACGATGTAGAAGTGATTATTGCGAAAATACAAAGATTAATAACAAAGATTAATTTCTGAATTGATAATTAAATCGAATTTTATATACATATATGCTCTTTTATTTTTATAGAATTAATCAATAGTTTTGTCAGTATATAAGCGTCTATTCTAAATTTTTTGGTTTTTTGTTTAAGAAGAATTTTTAGAATCAATCGTTTGAATTAAATTTAAATATGTGAGTTATATATTATTTAGTTTCAGAATAAATGTGTTAATAATAGTTACGATTTTATAATGATACAGCGATCAAGTGTTATTTTGTTACTTTCTTGCATGTCTAATTCTAGTTAACCAATTAAAATTTAAACAAATCATGATTTTTTATTCTTCAGTTATTTGATACTATTAGGTATCAACATTACATTCAGAAATGCAATACATACAATGCATATTTATTTCAATTTCTATTGATTCGAAAAAGTTTAAACAAGAAGACAGAGTAATACTAATTGTTGTGTTGAGATTTTTAAATGAAATGTCATGTAGAAAAAAGAAATGGAAAGGGATAAGTTGATGAGATAAAGACCAATAATTCAGTGGTGTCCAGATTCGTTACGCAACTTAATTTTTTTCTTAGTTATGCATTTCGCAATTTGTTACAGATTATTTAATAAATTTAGAGTATTATTTTTCATTAAATTTGTTGCAATGAATCCAGCGATTGTGCCATACCAAAAATGAGAGAGCAGCCTCAGAAGTAAAATTCGATAAAATTTGAATTTTTATGTTTTTTATATTTTTTTTACAGATTCTTTTTAATCTGTTATTCCTTGATGGTTGAAATTCTTCTAATAAGAAAGAATCTAAATATTTTGTTTGAATTTTATTATATTACATGTAAATTAATTCTTAACTAGTTTTAGATTAGATTAATATTAGATTATTGGAAATCATACCAATTTAGTTATAAAATTAAGTTATAAAATTGATTTAATTTAAATTTATTTATATATAAAATTAAGTTATAAAATTGATTTAATTTAAATTTATTACGGAAAATATAGAATTCAACAAATTAATCAAACAAAATTATATTAAATATCCCATATCATATGAAAATTATATTATTATTCTTATGTTCTTTTCTTTCAGTGTTATTAATAATTGACTGTATCTTATTGGAAGAATCTTAGCGATAAGTATATATTATAATAATAATTCTTTGAAAATTTAATAGAAAATGTAATAATGTACATTGATCGAGTACTTGAAATTTTATGTCTTCTTTCAGTCGTATTATACTGGATAAACATTTATTCGGAAATTTATCATGTTTCCTTTATTTAATGAACCTAAAATATATTAAATTTTTTCATGTTAAATATTTTTTTCAGTTAAGACAAAATGTAATCAATTCCATTGGATTGTTTTAAAGAAGGCATCCGCGTTTAATATTCGAGGTATAAAACTCGTAGTTATACTGGATAAATGACAAGTGTTTTGATTTTAATGATAAAAGTGGTAGGAATGTTACTCGCGAGTGAAATTTGGACAACACTGCATTAGTCAATTTTGAATGTATATATAATGTGTATTCTAGGTTAGAAATTTTTTATAATCATTTGAAAATTGTAGAATTGTACGTGAGTAAGATGAATTAAAGAACGAAATCTATTTACAAGAGAAAGAAAGGGAAATACTACTAACGAAAAAATATTTTAAGAGATGGAGGAGAGAGTGCTGTTGTATGCGTATGCGTATATGCGCGCGCGTTTGTATGTTACTCGTTACATGTATAGATTTGTAATTAGCTTGCAAATATTTTCGTGTTAGAAATCATGATTGAGACTTATTGTCTTGCATGATGCTTTCATTTTATTTAATGTATGTATGTAATGTATGTTTGTATTGCTATGTCCCAGCATGTATCAAGCATGCTTTGTTTTTTATTATTTCTTTAGCATGGTACAAATTGCGTTTTTTTAAAACTATTATTCGTGGAATCAATGTGTAACTACGGAAATTGTCCATTTTTATGCTTCTGCTAGAAATTAATTCTTAAAAAAATAGAATTATTTATTATGTTTCAATAAAAATTGATCGCTACAATAGAAATATATTTAATCTTTTATTTTGCATAATTGTCACATTTAAGTCACAGTACAGCTTACAATATATTATCCAATTGGTTTTAAATATTTCGTGCTGATCGTAGTATTAATATGTATTTTATAAGCATCCGCGAGAAATAAATATATGAACAATAACTTTCATTTTTTGAAAATTTTTAGTTATTCTAGCGTATTGAATAAATACATCTCTCTCGATTATGTTATTCGTGTTATTTATGAAACTATCTCTTCGAATTTTAGTCTGTAACTGTACTAAAGTACTATGTTACTCCATATGTACCAATGTTATTCCATTGGTTCTAATGTTATTCTGTTGCAAAATAAAATGTATATTTTGAAAAATATGTACTGCGTTAGTTAGAAATACATACATATTTAGCCTATAAAATAATTAAAGTATGAATGCTACCGTTATAAACCTGAGCATCTATAGAAATCAATGTATAGTTAATCGATAATTCCATGTCAAAATATTGTATGTTATTTCATTGCCCGCTTTTGCTAATGTTATAAATATAAAAAGGGTCCTGAAATTGCTTATCCCTTGCTTCCATTATTACTTTAGAAAATGTGTGTAATTATGTGTTGTTCATGCAGTAGATAAGTGAAATAAATGTTTATTATTTATTGTTATTAATTCACTATGCATGAATTCGGTTTATTTATGTTTCGTGCAATTACACGCAAGTTTTTTACACTTAATCATAAAAATTTTTTTCTCGTTAATCATGCGAGTATGTAAAAATTAAAAAAAAAAAATACCTATATATTTTTGTTCCTCCAATCTTGCATAGCGATGTATGAATCAGTTAAAATATACTTATTGTTAGTATTTACTTCTGTTGCTTACAAGCGCACTTATCCATTTTCTCATTGTTTTTACGTGTTTTTGCTTGTCTTTTCTTCTGTTCTTCAATCCTTGTACAATCATTATCCTTAATTTCATTATTTTCCCTTCCATTTTGTTCTATATCTTCTCTTTGTCTGTTATGATTTTCCAATTCGATCTTTGAGATATTTATTTCTGTGCGATCTGTTTGATTGTCCTAATACCTGAATTTTAAGAAAATATATTTCATGTTAAAATATATATCTACATTATATCAATTAAAATTTATTACAAATTAAACTTAATTCAATGTGTAGATGGAAAGTGAACATAGGCAGTTAAATTTAATCTATTGATTGATGAAGATTTTAGAAAAATTCAGGTTTTAAATTTTCAGCAGATGTTATTGTTACCCCTTTCTTTTGAATTTTTTTTCCGTTCTATCGATAATAGCTATCTATTGAAATATTAATTGATATTTTTATAGAATCGGGAAAGTGGTGATCGTTCGAGAGGTGGCGGCAGTGGCAGTGATTTTCAGAGATCGGATTCATCACCTGGATCTCGGCCCAGTTCCGTTTTACCGGATCTTCTTACTTCGTCACCAGGTCAACGACAGGACAAAACAACCAGTGAAGAGGTTAGATATATATATATATATATATACACATACACATATACATATACATATGTATATGTATACTTCCATTTCTTTCTATTATCTCATTTTTTCCATATATATATGTATCCGCGAATGTTTAAATTTTCACGCATTCAGATTCGTGTTTGTGCTATGGGAATCATTGATTATTCATGACCGCTGATTTTGTGTTATTTTTAATGTATGTACTATTGTACGCATTAAAGCGCAGTCACCGTGAAAAAAAAAGAGCAGATTTAAGAATTACTAAAAATCGATATTTTCGATTAGATATCAATATAGGAGTGTTTCAGATATATTTAAATCTTAGTCATAATCTAATCTTTTTCTTATGTTAATTTTGTATATTCGCACCCTATGATTGATTAGTTTTCTTTTTCCTTCGCTTTGCTTCGACGCACTTCTTTTACTTTAATAACAAATATTGATTTAATACAAAATATAAGTTAAGATTGTTGTTTCTTTTATTTTAGTAGTCACAGAGCTTAATATTTGAGTAATTACTTTTTATTTTAGCTAAAGTATATTTTTAAATTGCATATCATTGATACAGTTCGAGTAGATATAGGAGAAGGGTCCAATGAAAATTTAATCTTCAGTTTTTTCAATTATTTTATGTATTTTCAACGATACACCTAATTCTGTTTTTATCCGGATTTCTTGTATATAATTTAGTGTGATTCAACGCAATTCAAGCTTTGTTAAAAAATTTAAAATCTTTTTGTACTCAAAGCTTTTTTATACATTTTACTTTTATTTTATGTTTCTGATGAAATTTAATTGCTAATTATGTTCGCTATCTATTTATTTTTTATTTTATTCTTTATATTTTATGGAACAATTGTACTTTATTCGAAAAATAAATATCGAGTTCTAGGAAAATATGTAATTTCTTGAATAAAATTTTCTTACTAAACGTAAATACAAGTATAAATATGTGATGAATAAATTCAAAACTTATTGAAATTTTTACAATTCTTCCATATTCATTTGCAATACGTAATTTCTTTGAGATTTTTTATTCTCATAATAACTAGAATATGATGCAATAAAAAAAAAAAAAATTGATTTCGAATTTTAAAGTCAGGGTCACTTTTGTACAGATTTTTTTTTATAAACTTCTACCAATAAAATTATGCTATAATGGTTTTTATGAAACTTATTTTTATAAGTATATAGAGTAAAAGATGTGTTTATATAAATAAAGATTATTTAATTAGTTAGTTAAGGATTTTAACTTAAAAAAAATTTTTCCAAATTACGTATATATTAATTGACAGAACACATAACAGAATTGGGTGTATATTAATATGAATTTATATTATAATTATAATATTCTGCATCGTGTAATATGTACTGCAAACCAAAAATTAGTTTTGTTTCAAATTAAAAACAATAGGATGTAGTTTTTCATTTAAATATTGTTAGTTATGTTTGAAATTCTTCAGAGATTTAAATTATTCAATAGTACAATAGTCAATTTCAGAAATCTCTTTTCATTTTTGGTTAATATCATCTTACAATTAAAATAATTATATCATCAAGTGCTTTATAGTATGTTCTCGATTGTTCATAATTCGCGTACCATTTGATTTAATAACGAATCAATAATATTTTCACATTTATTTCAAGAGAAGATATTCCAAAAGAAATGTTGAAATTGTCTTTTAATTAATTGTTACAAAAATTTATTATAACTCTCTTTAATTTACTGAGATGTATAGATAATTTTTTTCATATTTAGAGGATGGCCATTGTTAAATTTATAAATATTAAGTATCTTTCGTTTAAGAAAATTTTTTAAATATTTTATATAATTTGAAAATATATAAAAAATAACTTTTGTAATGAATATGAAGCACAAAAAAGACAGTAGATAAATTAGAACATTCGAAGGAATACGATTCGAGTTTTTACAATTAATTTGTTTATTTGATCTTCCTTTTTGTTGAAACCAAACGTTGAGACCTCGAAATTATATTGTAATTAGAGAATTTTATATTTTATAACCACAAAATGTTCAGTAACAATATCATATAAATCCATAGCATGGTAATCAATCATACGATGATGTATTTATATTAAAAGTATATTGATTCAAGATACTTTTGTTGTAGAATAGAAGATTATTTAATAAGGGAATATATATTTTAAAATCAGTTTTTAATTAATAATTATTTTTCATCAGAAAATTATTTCTATTATCTAGAGACAATTCTTTCTAGTTCATGTAAAACATATTATTTTTCTCAGTCAATATTTGTACTCATTAAATATCACTGAATTATTGATTATCCTTAAATATTAATAATCACAAAAAAATAGGTTTTGTAATGCATAAATCTTTTAGCACAGAGTTTTTTGAAGTTTTTTAGTACGACTTTTTTGAAACATATAACAATTACAAATGAACGATGTTTTAGAGAATAGTTAAAAATGAAGACATGTAATAAAAAATTTTGATGAATGCATAAAAAAATTATTAAATTTTACATCTATTTGACACTTTATTTAAGCAAAATTTCTGAAATCGATATTTCCTTACTTCTCGTAAACATTAGGTAAATTATATAAGGAATAAAACTATTATGTTTGAGATGTCAAATATCAAATTTTAAAAAAATTTTTTTTGATCGAATTTAGTAAACATATTTTCAAGAAAATAAACACAATTTATCTGATTTGCTTCGATCAATAATATATTAACATGGATATTTCAAAAGTGGACGTATCATGTGCAAATCATTATAATTATCATTATAATTTTTTATACTGCACGAAGAAGTTTTTGTAAAATATTTGTTCATATTAAGAGCATTGTAAAAAGGTACTGTATTATGTTGCTGCATATAAAATAGCATGTGAATTTTATGACTAAAAGTGCTTTTAAATTATAATATTTTTTAGACATTGACTCAAAATTTGAAATTTGCTGAATTTAGTATAGTATAGATCGTATAGTATCGGTATTTTGTCAATTGTTGATGTGATAAAAAGATGGATCATTTATTAAAATGGAACATCGTTTTTCATAGAACATATTTCGAACGAAATTTAACAAAATAAAATTTGTTCATAATATTAATACAGGTTTTCGAAAAGCTTTTCATGTGAAAAATTAGATTAGAAAATACAAATGTGATAATTTTATCAACAATGATTGACAACAATGATTAATTTAATTGTAATAATTATAAAATTGTTTTATAATTGGCGAAACATATCGAATCTAAAAAAAATTGAAATTTGATTAATATTATTCTCAAGAAAACTACAAGTGTTGAAACTTAAGAATTTCGCCACTTTATTTACAATCTATTTTATTTACAATCTAATTGCCTAAAGAAATAAAAATTGATGGCTTATTTATAATGCATTGATGGTAAAAAAATTTTTTTTATTTACCAAAAATTAGTTCTTTTGAATGAAAATGAAAAAAATCTCAGATTTTATTAATATCTTCTTTAAATATTAAATATTAAATATTAAATGATACAATTAAACTTCAGTCATTTGATAATTTATTTAAGACAGTTTATACAACAGTTTATACTGTGTTCTGCGTAATAGCTCGTATATGTATATGTTCATCGTCTTGGATATTTCAAATAATCTTGCGAAAGAAAAAGAGAAAAAGAAGGAAAAAAAAAATTGGAATACATATGGAGAAATACGTAAAATACATGTAAGTATTCATGTTTTGGAATACACGAACACTTTTTATATTCAGTTACAAGATATCATTTGTATTTAAGGTAGATGTAGAATAAAAACTCGAATAGAAATAATTTTTTAAAGTTATATTGGCTTTATTCGGAATTCTTTTTTATTGAAAAAATTTCTTTTGATAGTTTATTATATTGTATAAAAAATTGGGCTAACCCATTCTTCTTGATAAATATTTCTTTAAAATGATAGGAAACCACAATTTATTCCATTTTTTGATTTATGTGAAAAGATTTATTAGATAGAAATTTAATTTATCTTATATTCTTTTTATGTTTAAATAATGTTTTTATTCTCAATTACATCTCGAATCAACTGGCCAATGTTCATTTAATCATAGTAATATTCTCTCTATATTGATATTAATAATATTTTGTTCTTAATGATATCTTTTTTTGATAATAATTACAAAAATTAAGGCGCAATTGAAAATATTAAAATTTTTCATTACTTAGATAATTGAGAAAAGTTATTTATTTCGATAATTTCAATTAATTTTCAATTTGTATTTTTTTCGATTTTTTATTTTTCTTAGAATTATAACATTTTAGGTTAGAATTGAAATTGAATCGAAATTTTTCAAGAGGAAATGGAATAGAAATCTTCTAAAAGAAATCTTTTAATAAATGTATCATATTTTAATAAATGTACATAGTTTTCATCTTTATGTTCTTTTATTTTGTATGCTTTATGCAACATCGTGATTGAATTTTTAAAAATTATATCAATTATCTTATTTAACAATCATGTTAAAAAACGAATTATAATTAAAGATTTTATTGTTATAATATTCAAATTTAAAATTGTTAGAAAGTTTATGTATATTGCATTATTTTATTGTGCGCAAAAATCTACGCATATAGTCCCATTAAGTTTGTCAGCGTGACTAATTCAGGATTCTGTTGTGTGTTTGGAACGCGTGGAAGCTCTAATCGGAAGAGCAGGGCCTTTTCTACTGACCATCCCAATCCCAATACTAATTATCATGTAAGTATTCATTCGATATTGATTTAGTTTAGTGTTGCTTTTGCCTTCTTCTATAGGACATTTTTTTGCGTGTAAAGGACATGAACGCAACCAAATTTTCTATCATTTCTTTTAACTTTCACCATGCATCATGCATGGAAAATCAATATCTTATATACTATCTCGTAATTCTTGATTTGGTTTTGTGGGCCCTTTTCTAGATATTTTGCAAATGAAACAAATTTCTAATTCAATCACAATCACAATCACAATCACAATCACAATCACAGCGCTTTTCTCAGCTTTATCTATCTATCTATCTATGTACCTATCATTTCCTTTTTTTCCTTTCTTTTCTTTTTTCACATGTTTGTCCAAGTTTTCCTTGTGTTTAGATATATTTTCTTCTTTTAATTTTTACTATTCTTTTATACTCTGTACTCTTATTCTTCAAACTACTTATTTCCAGATTTTAGGATATTTAACTTTTTTAAAAATACAACTTATAATTTTGTTTTGCTTTCTCTGTACCAATTTTTACGTTGTATATTTATTTGTAGTATATGTGAAATACGTACATTTGTTTTTTTGAAAATTTATATGTCTTTATAAGTTTGTAAATCTTGTAAGTCTCTCTTGCATGTTACTGTATCATTAGATGTACGTCTTTATATTTTCTTTTTTTTTTTTTATTTAATATATGCTACCAATTATTGTTTTTTGTTTCTTGGTTGCATCATCTATTATAATAACATATATATTTTCCTCATTTTGCATTCCATTCTTAATCTGCATATGTATTTCAGTTCAATTTTGAGGCAACGGTTTTCTGTTGCAGTATCGGCAAGCAGTTAAATCACCGCAACCACTTGCATTTCAACAGAAGCAGAGATCTTTTCTGACCTTTGGGTTCGGTGCGGGACCAGCTAGAAGGGAGTCTCATGTAAATGTTAACGTAACACCAACGAGTCACGATCTAGCTTCTGACACCCCCGAAATACGTAAATACAAGAAACGATTCAACAGTGAAATTCTCTGTGCTGCACTTTGGGGTAAATGCATTATAGAATTATATAAAGAATATTTTAAGAATAATCTATAAACATTATCTTACATTATTTTATCTAATGCTTCATAATTAAGTCAACATTTAAATATTTGCAGGAGTTAATCTACTAATTGGCACTGAGAACGGACTTGTGTTGTTGGATAGAAGTGGTCAAGGCAAAGTATATCAGTTAATAAGTAGAAGACGGTTTCAACAAATGGAAGTTCTTGAAGGACAAAATATTTTGGTAACAATTAGTGGAAAAAAGAATCGAGTACGGGTATATTATCTTTCTTGGCTTAAAAGTAAAATCTTGCGAACCGATGGACATAGCGATGTAAGTTGCTTTTTGCTGATTGATTAATTTAATATACATATGTTATCTATATATATTAAAATGAGTTTAATATACCTGAATGTTCTTTTATATTGTAGCAAGTTGAACGACGTAATGGCTGGATTAATGTTGGCGATCTTCAAGGTGCAGTACATTTTAAAATAGTCAAATACGAGAGAATAAAATTTCTTGTCATTGCACTAAAAGATTCCATAGAAATTTACGCTTGGGCACCAAAACCTTATCATAAGTTCATGGCTTTTAAGTCATTTGGCGAACTAGCGCATAGACCATTACTTGTTGATCTTACTATAGAGGAAGGTACAAGATTGAAAGTTATTTATGGCAGTGCTGATGGTTTCCATGCCGTTGATTTGGATTCAGCTACGGTTTATGATATTTATCTGCCAAAACACGTAAGAAAATATTTGAATAATAAGAATTTAAAATAGTTGATATTTTTTCTCATGTATTTAAATTAAGAAGTTCGAAAGGATATTTAGAATAAGAGATTCGTTCTTAATTACAGACTCAGGGTCCTATTTGTCCACATTGCATCGTGGCATTGCCAAATAGTAATGGCATGCAGTTACTGCTTTGTTATGATAACGAGGGTGTATATGTAAACACTTACGGTAGACTTTCCAAGACCATGGTTCTTCAATGGGGCGAAATGCCTACTAGTGTTGCATACATTGGTACCGGACAAATTATGGGCTGGGGTAACAAAGCTATTGAGATTAGAAGCGTAGAAAGTGGACATCTTGATGGTGTGTTCATGCATAAGAAAGCTCAACGGCTCAAGTTCCTTTGCGAGCGTAATGATAAGGTACGTATGTGTATATTCATATATATATATATGTTATTATATAAATAAAGTATTGATACAACAGGATGCGACCAAATATTGTATATAAGCAGGAGGGATGTGATTCCTTGTGAAAGAGTAGTAAAAAAATTAATAAAAAGTTATTTTTTTTGTAATTATTGTTTTCTATCATGTTTTATTAAATTAATTAAATTTAAATATATTTGATAAATTTTCAAACTTGATTTTCTCGGAAACTGAGCCTCTTATTTTTTCATAAAGAATCGCATTCTATACGACAGTGTTTCTCAATCTTTATGGAATTACAGTCCTTGAAGTCTTTTTTTTTTTGGGATAACTCTCAACTCGTGAATATTTTTTCAATTTTTTTTTAAATAGCACTTTATAAATAATTATATACTATTGAAAGAATTAGAGTCTTATCAAAACTGATTAAATTTGAAAAGTTTATTTGAGTTAATAAGACTTTTGTTGCTGTTTTTTTATTTAGCTTGTTAATTTTAGGATAAATTGAAATGATAGCTAAACGGAGACAGTCAGAAAGTTATAAGCGGATGGTCTGTTTCATTTTAGTCAAAAATGTGGTGGAAAAAACGAAGAAAAAAATTTCATTTTCTTGTAAATTTAAATATTTACTTTTCATTGTTATTCAGAATTTCGAATTTATAGAATTAACATTATACCATCCGGGACATCGCATGCAAAATCATTGAATAAATACTAAAAGCATACCATTTGTGTCGTGTATAAGGCTAAATATAAGTTATAGACTGCACTCACACAGGATTATATCAGCAGATTTTCTTGTTTCTAATTGTTAAAAAGCCTTGCTGACACCAACGATCACTGAGTCGTATCCTGTCTAAACATCTCGGTACAATCTACAAACCATCTGTAGAATAACCTCTACATATAATCGGCAATAGAACTTAGTTTTTGAAATGTTCGCAGAAAACTGTCGATATTAACACATATTTCTGCACGCCAAATGCTAAAAAATCTAAAGAATTTCTAACTTTTCAAAAATAGTTACAACTTGCGTCCATATCATAAATTGTCTTTGTTATTGGTCTTAATATCATTACTAGCTTGAAAATGAAGTTTAATTGTTTGAAGGCTTCATTGTTTCATTACAATTTATGTGGTGTCGGATATCTGTATCTTATTCATACTCTTCTTCTCTTTCTGTTTCTCTCAGAATCATTTTCAGAAATAACCAGTTGAGATAAGCATTTAGATTACTCAGCGTTCTAAGCAACGGACGTTAAAGTGGATCTTATTGTATATTTCTCCGAACATTTGTACTATAAAATATCTATTCACGAAAAATTCAAAGAGAACTTCTTGCGGCTCAGCGATTGAGAAACACTGTTACATGTATAATATAATTTCACTTTTCAATAATGTATCTATTTTCAATAATCCAGCTTCATATTACGTTTGTTTATTTTAGGTATTTTTCTCGTCAGCTAAAGGCGGAAGTGCATGCCAGATTTACTTCATGACATTAAATAAACCTGGCATGGCTAACTGGTGATCCCGAATAAGGCCAAATCTGGCCCTCAAATTATCTTTACAAATAAGGACACAAAATCTTTCTCGTGTATCGAGATATGCATCATCGCCATTCATGTTAATTCGTTCTTCACTGCCAGGATTTAACGCCATGGAGAGCAGACAATGTTATTATTGGAATCAACAACATTATCAATATCATTTTCAGTCTTATTACAATTGTCATTATTATCATTATTATCGTCGACGTTGTCTTCGTCGTCGTCGTTTTCTTCGTCTTCTTCGCTATTATCGACGTCGTCGTCGCCGCCGACGATGTTATCATTGTTATCGTCATCGTCATCGTCATCACCGTTACTACTACCATCACCACCATCACCATCATCACCACTTTCACCATTATCACCACTATCATCATCACCACCATCAGCATCGTCGTCGCCGCCATCATCATCATTACCATCACCACCATCACCACCATCATCACCATCATCACCACCATCACCATCATCATCATCATCATCATCATCATCATCATCATCATCATCATCACCACTACCATCATCATCATCATCATCACCACCATCACCACCGCCCTCACTTTCACCATAACTATTATTATTTTTATTCACAAGACCATTATAATCTATATCGATATGTTTGCTCGAGTAATTGCACATTAGTAGAAAAACGTCAACTGTTCAATGAAGGGTCTCAACAATATCTTCGATTGTTTTTACAAAGCATACAAGGAAAACTAATATTTGTAAATCATTTCATTTCAAAAATATTTTTGTGTTTTTTTAACTATTCATCTTACGTGATGCAACTTAGCATATAAAAAAATGGTTCCTTCTTTATCATTATATCTCTCTTAATAGAGGAAAGTAATAAGAAAAAAACTATATGCACAAAACTTTATTATACTTTATAATAATTAATTCAGTGTGTTATTAATTACTAAATTTTGTTTTATACATTAAAGATATATTTATATAAAATATAATTTTATATAAATATTTTAAAAACGAAAACAAATGATTTGAAAGAAATCGCATCATGAATTCAGAGTAATTTGAAAACAAATACATGTTAAGTTATTAGTGATTCGTAACAGAAATTATTATATCGTAGTATCCGAATAAGTGCAAAGAAACTGTGCAATGTCAATGCTTTCATCTATATGAACAAAGAGATTCTCCGTAATAAGTTTGTAACAAATGGCTGAATTTTTCTATGATAATAAGAAAAATGTGAACTATTTCAATAGCTATAAGTGCAAATACGCGAGCAATGCAGTGTGAATGAATTTTTGCGATTTACATTTCGAGAAAGAGAGAGTATAAAGAGGACGCGCGCGCAAGAATGAAAGTAGATGCGATGTAGCGAATGCAAAGGAATGTGTGTAATGTACGTTTTTAAAATCATTTTTGAATATATTTTCTTTCCATTTATAAAGATTATTATAATTGATGTAATACTAATTTCTTCGGAAAGATTGCTCCCATTATATATATATAATGTAATCACATACATTATTGCATCAAGTTTATGTTAGAATAACCTTTTAAATGGAAGAACAATAATGTTTTTAACAGTAAAATAATGGAAAAATAGCGATGGATTAAAATGTTATAACTAAAATTAGGAATAAGGAAGGTAATTACTAATGTTATTAACTGTATAGTTTGTAATAATCAAAGGACTATGTTCTATTTCTGTAATTTAAGATAATGAAGATGACGACGATAATACGAGGATGTATGGCATTGGATAAATTGCATTTTCACGAGTAATAGATTTATGTTAATAATTTTTGAGACGTTAGGTGATAAGGTGCAAAGAAAACATTTTTTTTTGTTTCATTATTTTCTAAGATTAATACTTTTTATGTTTATCTTGCACCCTCCTCTTTGTGGAAACTGTTTGAATATTGTTGTGTGTTATTTACTTCTAACAAATAATATAAGCAATTACGGGAACGCATTCAATACTTAAATAAAGAACAATTTAGAATTTGATGAGGCGATATGCATCGAATTTTTCCATTTTACAACTTATTCGCTCAATGTTATATGAAGAAATGAATATTATTTATCCACAAATTTATAATTTCATGTATAAATATTTTCAAAAGTGGAATAATTATGACGACGATCTTACTGATCAAACTGAATTATAAATGGGACTTTTGTAATTAAAAAATAAAAGAAAAATTAGAAACTAACGCGCGTCTATGTATTATAGGTGCGCTGTACTATTTAAAATAGAATTTTACATGGAACTTTCTACTAGAAATAATTTTAATTTGAATAGTTCTATGTATATGTATTTAGATCGGACTACTTCTCTTCCTAAATATTTTTAATTGTATAACAAATTGTATTTCAAAATTATTTTTTCGTCTATAATTGCAGTTTCTTTTATATCGCGCATAATCGAATTTTGATTTATATTGTGTATCATGTATAAAATGTTATAAAATTTATTACACATAATAATGGTTCTTTTTAATCATTGAATAATATTGAAATTGTAACTTCGTCATTATAAAAATGATTTTTATTACTAACGAATTTTGGATATATTTTGATTAATGTATCGTAACTGAAAATTAAAAACTCTATGGCAATAATATAGTACTAAGGACGAGATTCGAATTTTGAAAAAAAAAAAAAAAAAAAAAAAAAATATGTAATATACACTCATTTATTTATTTGTATATAAATAAATATATGATGTGGATAGGAAATGAGGGTAATATATCATATTTATTTATTTGAATGCGTTTCAAAACTTTTTCTTAAGATGTTCTGAAATATGATTCTTGAAATACGATTAATTCATTTATTTTTAAATATCGAAATACTTGAAAACGCATTCGTACGTAAATGCAAAGAGGAGGACGTTTAGCTAGGTGCAACGAAAGACTGTTTTCTGAAAGAGAAAAAGAGTTTTATTGCGTTGGGATGGAAAAGGAACAGGGAGTGATAATCGATTGCGCGCGCGGCATGTATGCGAGTAAGAGAAAAATAGAATTTTTAGCGAAAGCTACACGTATGGACGGTCATTTACAAATAATAGAGATTCCAATATTATTATAACGATAATATCACTATGTTAAACAGATTCGCGAATTAATTTCGTGCAATTCCTTTTATTCCTTCATCACTTTCGGTTCCTTTGGTTAATATTTGTATGGTTCCATCCATTACTTTTACTTTTATCATCTTGCACATTGTTTCCCAAAGATGGTAGTGATGATTTTTAAAAATATTGTAATAATTATTACTTTATAATTTATAATTGCATTATTGTTGCGATTATTATATCTATCCGTACGCCATTATGACCATCACCATGCGGTATATTATGATTACAATGATTAAAATTACTACTATTATTACTATTAGTAAAGTCAAATATACGGACAATTTGTAATTGATACAATAGCAGTTTTTTCGTATATCCTATATATGTACATATCATGTGTAGGATATTATATCCTATAGCCGCTTATAAGAATAAATTATAACTCTTAAATTTTATAATAACAGTGGAAGCGTAACAAGCAATTGCAATCATTAATCTCGAACAAATGGAAATTATTTATTAATAGTATTACAAACAAATAAGAGACCAAAAAATAATGGAAAAATAAATTGATAGATATGATGTAGATAAAATATTTACAGATTTGTCTATAATTTTTTATTTAAAATATATCGATTTCTTCGAGATAATAAATATCGAAATTCCCTTTTAATGATACAAACGATTAATTCAATTAATTAACATTAATATTATTATTAGCAAAGTTATCAATGTCATATGCAATATGTACCGTTAAAACTAACTTCTTCTGGTATATTTCGACGGGTGTTTGTTTACATAAATTTAATTCAATAATTATTTATTATTTCCTATTTATCCTAATTAAAAGTGATTAATTTGGTCGGTGCGTGTATTATATATATATATATATATATATATATATATATAATGCACGCACCGACCAAATTAATCACTTATATATACATACATACATACATACAGGGTGTTTCGTCTAACTGAGTACAGTAAAATATCTCGGAATGAATTGAAGCTACGAAAAAAATGTTACAAGAGCTGTTCAGTGTAAAAAGATGGCTTACGTAGTATCAACAATTTTTTTCATTCATATAATGGTGGAAGATATTTTAAGGTCAACTTGATTTTTTTTAAATCAGGCCATACATTTCCTTATTCGTATTACGACAGTTGGTTTCAATACGAATCCAATGACCTACAATGTTGTACCATTTCTTCCAATTAGTCCTAAATTAAAAACGATGAAGATCGCAACAGTCTGAGGCGGACGGTATTACAAATCGGCTGCTTACATCTTGATTGACGCGTTATTCTGATTTCATTCGGTGCCAAATCGTTGTTCTGAAGCTTAATTTCAGTTTCAGTAAATGGATTGATAACACATTGTTATTGCTAAAAAAATATTAAAAATTTTCTTTATGCTATTATTGATCGATTTTTATTTTTATTATCCATTATTAAGCAAGGTGTATTATGAATGATGGTGGTGATTTAAATTCAGATTAATGGAAATTTACGATACGAACAAGAAAATGTATGGTCTGATTTAAAAAAACAAGTTGACCTTGAAATATCCTCCACCATTATATGAATGAAAAAATTGTTAATACTACGTAAGACACCTTATTATACTGAACAGCTTTTGTATAAACATTTTTTTCGTAACTTCAACCCATTCCGAGATATTTCACTGTACTCAGTTAGACCCTATATATATATATATATATTTTATACACAAAGCACATTAAGTAGTTTGCTGCATAATAATTAGTAATTTCCATCAGTGTACAGGATGTATAAAAATTATATATCACGACCAACGTGATTCTATTTAATGAACTATTAACCCTCTATTTAATGAAAGTTCATGTAAGAAATGTCCAATTGACGTTGAAGTTGAAATTCAAGATCAAAAAATCAACATTCTTTTTTTTATTCTTCCATCGTATTCTATTTGTCACGAGGACCAACTTTACAAAAGGAACCATGAATCGGAAATAATCTATTCTGAGCACTGTGAAAGTTTTAATTGGCGGTCATTGTTTATAAAAAAATTATTAACAAAAAAGTTTTTTTGAAATAGTTTAATTATTTTATTCATTTAAA